TCGATAAAAAAGATGAATAATTTTTGCTATATAAAACACCCAGTCTTTACCAGTCCTCTAATTCATTTAAACCCACTATCGATCAGGCTATACAATGCTATTGTTAAACTTTGAAGAATTAGTCGAGAAGAAAAAAGGACTGGGGGTGACTGATAAAAAATCGGAATATTTTTGGTTTTTTTACCAGTCACCCCCAGTGCTTTTTTCTTCTCGACTAATTCTTCAAAGTTTAACAAGAGCATTGTATAGCCTGATCGATAGTGAGTTTAAATGACTTAGAGGACTGGGTATTTTATATAGCAAAAATTATTCATCTTTTTTATCGACTTTATAGAACCGGTGGATGTCTAACTAGGGTGGGCTGAGCCCATCCTTGGCGCCGCCACTAATTACAAGCTACAATTTGTCTAAAAACTAGAAACTCGTAAACTTCAAATTCGAAGCTCACTTAATTTGACTATTTTTCTTATATATATTACTTGATAAGGTAATAAAGACCAATTTTCGTTTCTACTAAAAATCATTTGTGAACAAATATCACCTAAACATATACTATCAGAAGCTTGTGAAATTAATTTTAAATGTTCAATATCAGTTAATTTTCTTTTCTCATTAGATGAATTTGTGACATGTGGTTGACATTGTAAATAATTTTCTTGAATTAATAATGGCATTAATTGATAATCATAAAAGAATATATCACTTTTATCTATTATTGATTTATTACGTAATTCAGATGAAAATGATAAACGACATAATTCAAATGGATTATTATTGACAGATTTTTCAATCATTTTTGCAGCTAATAAATTTGTTTTACCACCTTGAATAGACCAAAGATTTAATGAATGAATTGTTTGACGAATATCTTGATTACATGATTTTATAATTTCATCTAAAGTTTCAGGTTTTATATTTGAAACATTTTCTCGTTGAAGTATAGTTAACATTGCAGCATGAATTTGTTGAATCGTTGGACGATGAAAACGTAAATCATAACAATAATTAGCTAATGAACGAATTTTTTTATGTTGTCGATCATTACATATACATATAATTGGTATACGTGATCGTTTTATAAGTGATATTAATTCTTGTATACCACCACGATCTTCATTACCAGATACACCATCAACTTCATCCATAATTAAAACATATTTTGACATTGATTTATTTGTAAAATGTGCAACACTATATGT